GGTCCCGGATCGCACATCAGCACTAACAGAAAATATCACACATCAAAATCACATGATTGAGTGGGACAATTTCAAAGCAGTTGAGTTGGCCATCTGTAAAAGCTGCAGCGGGCCGGTACTAAACAGAGGCGAGGGGTCACATAGACTCTCATGCAACTATTACCAGGTTTGAAATAAAGCGTTGCCAGATATACTTTTGATGAGATAATACATTGTTGCTACCTAATGTATGCGTTAAAAGATCACCAAATAGGCATGTTTCCATTATCATCTTATCACCATTTCGTCGCACTACATTCCATCTTAGTGAACCAAAGATAATACTACAGACGAAAAGTCATGTGATTTCATTACCATCACTTACTCTCTACACCTCGGTGCAAATACACTACGATATAATAGTCATTTGTCTTCAGAAAGTGCGTCACACATAATATTCTTACTGGATGCGATATACAATCATCCATTCCATTCTTTGTGAAGTCTTACTCAAAAATATCACTTTAAATCATAGGACATACAGAATTTCAGTTTTCTGGTGTCAAAAGATTTCGTAATTAACACTTCAAAACTAACATATCTACAATAGTGTAGTGTTTGTGTACGTAAAGCTTCCGAATTATGTCTTTAATACTATTGGACCCGCAGTGGTGGAATTTTTGCGTTCAGAAGAACTCAGAACGCATCTAAACAGTTTACAACTTTAATAATTTCCCCCATTGAAACACCCTATATCTCATTCTGCACTAGTTTTCTGTCCAAGTTATATACAGTGTACGTAATCGCCGAGGCTTTCAGCCTGACACTCGAGCCATATCTAGTGTTAAGATATTGAAACCGTTTCGAAGGATATATGCCTACAACAGCACTTATACTCATAATTGCTCACCATGCATATTCAGTTTGTCCTATTTATCCACCATGCATGCCTTTTGTTATACGACGCTCGAATTTAATTTCATATCTTAAAAGCGAGAGACCAGTAAGTAATGGGTATCTATTGTGTTAGGTTGTGTGCTCGCTTGTCCTTACATACGTGACAGATAGGTGACACCTAGGCTACATAACCATCCTTCCTGGTTCCGCTTTCCCGCCTTTTTATAATGGATTTTTCAAACACTATCCCGCTCATAAAGAATAAAAAAGAAAATCATGTTACCAAACTATCTGATTTCCAGTACGCCGGGTTCTCGCGTAATGTAACCGTTTCTATTGTAACCAGAGAGGTGAAATGCACATAATTATGATATATAGTTACCGTGTATATACAGCTTTGTAGATTGTGACGGGTATATCGTTCAGGGGGCCAAGGATTATACATATTTTGAATAATTCAGTCTTGCTCAAGTGGTCAGGTCTAGCTGAATCTGGAGAGTTTTTTTTTTAATTTAAAACAAACCCAATATGACATCCTAGACTGATAAAATATCACAAACATTGATTCTTCAGTAGATATAGAACACAAGGTGTAGCAGGTGGAAATGGGATAATATTTAGTTTATATTAACATTTAAACCCCTGATGACATTTTCCTCCATGGCGCAGAAACTTTGAGAGTTTACTCTCCTCTCTCAATTCATCATACATACAAAGAGAATATTACATCTTTCCTCAAGAGTTTGGCATGGTCACACGTTTGATACTAAGTTCTTGAACTGTTTGGCAAGGTCACAATTTTGATACAAAGTTTTCAACAGTTTGGCATGATCACACTTTCGATACAAAGCTTTTTCAACAGATTTGCATGGTCACACTTTAGACATTCGAACAACATTAACCCTCGACATTTCAGTCAGGATCCATAGCTGTCTCTGACCCGGCAATGATTTTAGACGGAGTATAATAATACATTTGTTAGTATTTCTTCAACAAGCTCACCTACTGTAAATTGATTCTCTTAGATTTTATTAGCATTGAGGCAAAATGTTCTTAGCAAATTTTGTTACTATCTTATAAACAAGGATAATTGTTTTTTCGAAAATAACTTCATGACAAAATATTTCCACTGGGAAGATATAGTAGACCCCTTGTCTAATTCGATTTTATTTTGTCTCCGTACGTTATACTATTAATATAGAGACAAAATACGAAATTGACCTTTGACCTAATGACCTTAGTCATTGCTTATTTCACTTTAATAACAATTCCCATCTGCTTTTCTTGATGTCATAAGATGTTTAGATTTATAATTTGACATTTTGACATACTCGATACTCCAGGGTTTACAATCACTTTCGTTCTCTGCACCCCTTGAGCATGCTATGGCAAAATTGATGGTTCCTTGTGCGACATCTCGTTGATATGACGTACACCAAACAAAATTAGGGATCGCATAACGGTATACTGTAACGGCGTTGATGTTGTTGATGTAGCTCTTTTGTAATCTTCAAAAGGAGCGTATCAGCCTGTGATTGGTCAGATTTTTTTTCTCGAACCTATAAAGCTACATCGCTTGTACCTTCAATTTTGCAATTTTGACATGTTCCAGGGGTGTCGAGAACGAAAGTGATCGTAACCCCTAGATGATCGAGGATGGACATTTGCCCAGACGACATTAACCTTTAGTCAGTTCAGTTCGCATATGTTACGACTTAAAAGTTACCCCATAAGTCAACATCGACCAAACTTGACTACAAAATCCCCGCAACGTTACACTCATTAAAACAACTGTACATAAAACGCGATCTTATGCCATCATTAAAATGAGAAAATTCTTTTCCTGTTCTTTTTCTTGAATGAAGGAAATATTAACAGTCATGCCCTTAGCTTATAAACAATGCTTTAACATATTCAGGTTATTTATTGCTGATATAATTATCCTCTCCATGTGAGGTTGTTATTCGCATCTTCTGAGAAATGGCATTAGACCTATTAGTCTTAAAATGTCGACATTGTGCATTCAATTAGACTCGAAATAGTCAACCAAGTACGGAATACTCAACACCGAGAGGATCCTCCAATACCCCAGATAGAGACAATAAGATCATTAAAATGTCAAAGACTGAAACGGTGACGATTTGCTTCTCCCGAAAAGGTATCGAACCGTCAAATATGCATATCGAGAAACATTTGTTTAAAATACGAATCTACAGAAATAACGAAAACAAAACGGACGCACATGGACGGAAGCGCATGGACGGACGTACAACGGATCAGAATAAGGGCGATTTCTACATCAAACCATCAGGCCACACAGTTGGAAACTTTCCAAAAAATAACATCATAAGGACAAACATTTGATACATTAAATAAGTGACGCACAAATAGATAGATTAATTGACTTGTGTACCATCACCTAGACAAGCTTCTAATAGTCAGGTGATTATATACCAATTTCATAACATGTAAATTAACGTTCCAAGGATCAAAAGAAATTTATCATACCATATTCAAAAAAGATTAATCTACACTAAATTAGATATTCTGATTTTAAACATCAAAGCGTGCACGCTCCACTTCCCCAAGGTGTCTACTGCACACAAAGGGGTAAATTGTGTATTAAAGTTTATTTACACGTATCAATCAGACGTTGAAATAATGTGTCGGAGTACGTCCGTTCACAGACCTTCATTAAGTAGCGTTTTCAATCCTGGCTGCACCTAAATATCGTGTTACAGTTATTATGTAGTAAAGGTGTCGTGTTGTCGTACTTATTACATCGAGGGTTCCAGATATCGCCAAGGATTGAAAACTTGTTATGCCCGAACTCAGTTGTCGGTGAGTTAAGTTTCAATAATCTGAAGCTGCTGATAGAACAAGAAACTTCAAAATTGAAAGCACACAATGAAGCGGTATCATGAGTTTAAAACGTGAAGAAAATGTCAACATGACAACATAATCTGTATTTGAACTTCAAACCGATAAACATATGATCAAAAGAAATATTTACATGAATGGGTTTGAAAAAGGATAGGGGTCAATAGGAACAGGTGTTCCGGTAGGGCAAGCATCTCATCTCCATGAAGACACCTGCAACGTAAATCTTGATCAAACCAAGTGCGTAAAGCCACATTCTCAAATAAGAACAAGATAATCAGATACCAGGTAAATTAATGGAAAACAAAGACATATAATAGATTTAATGAGATTATAATAGTCCTCATCAACCTGCCTCGCTTGGAACCCTGCTTTGTAACTAGCATAAGTTCATCATCTGTCAGCTGCCAACACCTTGCTCGGACATCTGATCTATTTCTTTGTGGGATATGAAGCTGGACGTGTTTGATGCTCGTTAGTTTTCCTGTTGGTTCCGTTGTTGTATACCTTGTTCTTATTTGAGAACATGACATTACTTACTTGGATTGACCAATACTGACATAGCAGGTGTCGTCAATGTAGCAGGAGATGCTTACTTTCATATTTTGCCCTTGTTTTATTGACCTCGAGTTTGGATTATGATTATGTTGAAATGTTGGTATTTTCTTGTCTTTTTTTTTAAACTTACATATATTTCAAGACTATGATATAGTATTTTTCTAGTATACGATATAAAAGTTGAAAATGTGTGTAGATTTAATCAGAAATAAGAAGTCTAATGCATTTAATATTAAATTTAATTTATGTGATTAGTAACAGCAGATCCTAGATAACTGTGGCAGTATCATAAATATCAGGCCAACGTACACCGAATCACCATATATATATATTGACTCAGAGATCATCTTGTGTATTTATTTAAAGTGTTCTCAAATTTCCTCCTACATCCTGGTAGACCTGGATTTGGCTTTCAATCTTACAAAGACATACACAGGTGAAAAACATGAGTTCGGTAATGGATATGACATCTAAAGAGTAAACATGTCACGTGCAGCTTTTTGGTTCTTCTCTTTGTAATTGTTTTCCATTAACCAATGAAATTATTCATAAGAATTTAGATATGACATTTATATATGATATACAGGTATACAAAAAACCTCTTGATCTACCAAACAGCAGAGCTCACAAACCGCAATAAATTCTTTAAGGACGACACAAAACACATTTAGAAATACCACTTTACTCATGAACTACATACCCAACAATGAAAAAATCCTACAACGGTTTGGTCATTCAAGGACTTTTTTAGTTATGCTGGGAGCTACACGACTTCAGGAAACTTCTGAGGATACGAAGTCGGAAAGTACGTAGCATTTCCTGAATGTTCTACAGCAAACAAACAGTATGCTCAGATGTATTGAATCCGAGTTCATCTCAGTTACGGCTCGGTGCCGATATAACATCTAAATCATTCTATGTCAAGAATGTTTAATATTTAGATCAAGTGCTCTTTTCTGAGCAGGTCCTCCCCATGTCTTACTAAATATAGCACGTTCTTTTTCTAGTGAGGAGATATAGTCCGACTCACAAGCCTCTATCACCACTGTCTTCATATCCCTCACCAGATTCACATCCGCGTGACAGTACTGACTCAGCCAAGCACGACCGATCCTCAGGGTAACCTCATCCTCCTCGATACTCTCCTCTTTGGGCGGTTGTAAGGGAATGATGTGATCTATCAAGCCTTGTCTGAGACACTCCTGAGAAGAAAGCAGTCTAGAGGAACACAATATGTCCAGAGCTCTTGAACGACCTACCAATCCAACAAGCCTTGTCGCCCCTCCCCATCCTGTCAAGACACCCATCTTCATCTGTACGAACCCAATACGGGCCGTGTTGGTCATCACACGAAAGTCACAAGCTGTGGTAAGCTCGGCCCCTCCTCCAATTGCGTTACCTTGAACAAGAGCCATACTGACCAACGGCAGTCGATGAAGCCGTGTCAATGTTTCGTGCATGAATTCTGCCATTTCATAACCCTGCTCTGATGTCAGAATGTTCTGAACAGTGGTTAAATCACCTCCAGAACAAAATGTTCTCTGTGACCCCGTTAATATCACACCTTTTCCATCATCCCATGTTTCCAATTCTTCGACCACATTGCGGAAATCAAGCATCATTTTACCTGCAAGAGTGCGATAGCTGATTTTTCAACAATATCAAACGAAAGCAAACAAAATGTGTTCACTAAAGGCTGCTTTCTCCGTTACTTTCAGAAATATTACTATGACGTTAATATAGAATATAAAACAATACTGATTTTATTTGGTAAATAATATTACATTACTGTCTTATGCCTGCTTATATGTAAAAGTTTCTGGTTAACTGGCGATCATAATTTCTGGATCTACCTGATAAAGCATTTTTCTTGTCCGGGTTGTTAAGGGTGACGATAGCAATGCCATCAGCCACGTCCTTAGTGAGATCCACACTACCGCCACCATAACCTTCCAGTCTTGATCGGAACGATGTCATGTTCGTGCTTGACGTAAAATATGGCAAACATCCCTGTAAACATCTTAGAGTCTTTCTTTTTACTGAAGGCAAAAAATGGGCAATTAATTTACAGAGGTTCTACTATGACTCCTTAACCAATTATTGAGTTTCTCTTTTCTTGTTCCTTCTTAATGTGAGTACTGACGGCATTGTCAAGTCACCTCTATCTAATTGTACAAATCATTATCAATGCTGCGTCGAAATTTCTGTGATCGGCTTATATATATATATCATATTTAAAGATATAGAACTTTTATATAGAAAGATTTCGGTCTTCCTCTTGTTGGCGTAATGCAAAGGCAAACTGATAATTTTGGCAAGTCGGACGAAATCGACATACAAAAGAATAAAGAGTAGAAATCCTTAAGTCAGAAGGTATGAAATGGGCTGATTTTTAACAATAATGTATAACGTTAATAAGGAAACATGGTGTAGTATTAAAAACAATACGATAATATAGACAGGACAAATTGTTTTCAATGCATGAAAGCGTCGCGCTATTTAAGACTTAAGATTAGCGTCCCTTTGGTGGCTTGTCAGTTATTAGGTAACTCGGACTGTTGAAGTTTGTAAGCACAATGTAGTCTAAATTCAAACACAATTACTGACTATTACCACTAATCTCTTACACTGAATTAAGTGTCCAAGCGTTTATTTTAATACAAGACACGAAAGTAAGTCAAACTGAAGTTTTTCTTAAAGTCAATTTGAAAGCTGTGAATCAATGGTCTGGATCGTGGTGAACATGTTTACAGAATGAATAAGTATACCTTGTGGACATCTCAGGATGTTCTCAGCTCCATGAATGTTGCATTTTGATGAAATCAGTCTGAGAGTCTGAAAGTACAAGGTGGATGTCAGATTATTTCTCCCCTTTTCCAAATTATAATGATCACGTGACTTTGAAATATTAGGAAAATATCGACATCTTTAAAGATCATGATTCTATCTTATTATCCATGAAACCTGGGCAAAATATGAACAAAACAAGGATTTACACAGAGACTCTTGAACATGAACACGACCAGGTGTTCTAGAAAGGTAAGCGTCTTCAGTTTCGAGGACACCTGCCATGTATATTTTGGCCATTCCAGTTATGTATTATCATTTTTTTTTCAAATGAGAAACCACCAAAAAATACTTATAAGCATCAAAAACATTTAAATGCATATCACAAAAGGAAAATGAAATAATTTTAAAAATGAGATCATGGCGGCAACCCCAACATTTCCCCGTAGTCTTTAATCATCAACATGTATTCCACAGACCCCTATTGCTCAGTTATTCCGTGCAACATATTATTATTGTTGTTTATATATATGTACGAACATAACCCTTCTTTTATATTTTTTGTAAGTAAAACATAGATTTTTTTTAATTTGATAAAAACATCACTGCAATGATGCCGAACTTTTCGTTCTTTGTGTTTTTCTTTAAATGTGTAATATAAAGAAAATTTAATGATTGCCCGATAAATTGTATATATAAGGTCACTCGTAGTAAAGAGAATCTCTATATTTTATATCTGGAAGGGAAACTCCCAGAGCAAGATCGAATAGAATATACGTGTACATTGTAAGTCAATTTTCTGTCTCGTCCTACTCCGTCGGGTAACTTTAAGCGAGATATGGCATGAAAAAGAAGTCGTGATTAAAATGGCAATATAACAAAGTTTCTTTTGGCGTATGATAGAAAATGGAGGTATTAAATCGAATTGAAGAGAAATGAAATTAGTTGATATTTTTATGCGATAATCTTAATATGTTTGGTGTAAATTTTAAATCTCGAGCTGACATATTCTGTAATATTATAATCGTGGTTTTACCTCGAATGATATTGAGTTACAGAATGTTAAGTCCTGATTGAGATATTACGACTCCCGAACACATCGGTGGTGTTAGCAATACTTGGGTATGCAGTTAAGATGTATACTTTTTCTAATGTACGTGTAAATCAGAATTGTGTGACTTTCATAGCTATTATTTGAAATGGTGTCCCAATTATTTCATCAATTTTCTTTTATAGTCACATATTTTGGCCAAATATGGATAAGTCAACCTCGAACGAGGTCCCCAAAAAACCATGTCTGTTCGCTACAGTTATTGTTATATGCGTAAGCGGCTACGGGTTTCTTTGATAGAGTTATCTCCCATGTCACGTTCCTTCGAGAACGCAGTTTGTTACGTTACAAGTTCGGTGTTGTATCTCTCCTAAAACATTTAACAAGTGTTTACAGTGGGGAATGTGATATTCTGTCTCTCGATTACCGCTTTCATTCCAAAATGGAAAAAAAATCTTACCATATCTAGTTCTTGCAGAGTACTTGTCTTGGTTGTGATCTTTAGGCCATGGGAGCACTCGATTGTTTATAAGAGGGGAGATCACTCTAAAGTAATCTATTGACTTCAAAATGTTTACCCCATGAAACAAAACAACACTTCCACAAGCCAAGATGCTTAATCTATCAAATAGGTTTTAACATACAGATATTTGCATTACAACGGAACATCAGTGTTAATCTAGATAAACTTTGGTGTTGTGTTTACCTACGTTGAAGTATAATGTCCGTGGTTGATGGTACGTCATAGTCAAGTTACGTTAATCGTTGTACATGTAAACATTCCGAAAAAACATATTTGTTGAAAACATGTTAACATTTAGAGTAATAAGATATTTAGATAAACTTCTGGTACCGGACAAACACGAACTTTTATGTCTTAAGTCGGTGGTAATACTCGATACCAGTTATTTCTTGGTTCCCCAGTGACCATCTTTTTTTTCTTTCTCTTTATTTACAGTGTCCCTCCATTTTACTGATATGTTCTAGATCTCGGGGAGGTTGTTCCATGTGTTCATGTCTCAGTCTCAGTGACATGCACACTGTGATCTATACTGATCATATCGAGTCATAGTTTCGTGAAGATCACTTGAGTAACTTTTGATACGACCACCTGGTAAACTGGATCGTTCTCAAAATCTGACATACATAATTATTATATTTTGTCGTGTTTGTCACTATCATGATATACCCTGGAGCGATCATGTTAGCAATATGGACAATAACGATATGTTACGAACTGAAAATAGTACAACAAAATGGCAGCCTGCTTGCTTTTAAAACCGTTCAAAATTAATTTTCTGGGTTATGTGATAAAAAAAACACTTTTTCTTTTAATTTCATAGAAGATATTTTAAAACTTGTCCTCGACTTTTACTTATTTGCTAGCAAAAATAAATAGGTAGAGAACATTAATAAGAAAAACTTCCAAAACAAGTGTGTAAAAGCATAGAGCAGTAAAATTAGAATGAGCTTTATAATACCGGTTCAAATTGAAGTGTTTTCCGGTAGAAATAATATAAAGAACTGGTCCGAATGTTAACAAATCTGACCCTTGTGAACTTACAAGGGAGTTTATTTCAGAAATACTGTAGCATCCTGGGTATTAATTGGCCAAATATCGGTACCTTCAGTCCTGAGAATCTTGAAAAGGTCCTAAGTTTTTAATGCATTTGATTCATGTGACATAGAAAAAAAGGTCAAGACCATTTAGACGAAGAAAGTAATTATTTATTCGTTTCAGCTTTGGTACCGTACCTGCTGGCACGATATCTTACAGGACTCTTCTCAATTTCCACTCCTGTGACCTTAGAAAGGTTGATAATTTGTGCGACAACCTTGTAGCCAATTGCCCCAGGTACCTACATATGTACTGGCTAAATATCAGTATCCTGGGTCTGTTTGAACATTTAAACATTGGACTCTTGTGATCTTGAAATAAGTCAGTGTCACTCTATCAGCAGATATGAAAATGGTTAATCTTAAGATTGAATTTTATAACTATTAATTTTTTGTGAATACTATAAATGGAATGATCTTATTTCGGAGTCAAAAAAGATGACATCAGTCAATTGGCTCAACATTGTCAGCTCTGTATTAGTAAATTTGACAGCGCTTCTTCCAAGGTACTTCCTGGACAAATTCAGTACCCTGGAACTTACAGAAGGCTATTTCTCAAATGGTTTTTAACACATTTGACTCCCACGATAGGTCAAGGTAGTTCATATGAAGAAATTTTAATTTAATTACCTGTTCGCATATCAGGATATTGGGTCTTCTGGAACTTCATAAAATTATTATCTTTTCAAAAACATATGATTTTAAAAGTAAGACAAGGTCATTTCTGTGAGGAATGAAGAACTTTTTATGAACATTTTACATTGATAATCACTCAAGGCATGACCTTTAATGACAGCAACAGCAAAGAAAACAAATAAAACATCATAAAATGGATAGAACTTTAATGAATGTTGAGGTTTACATATTTCTTTCTAAAAGTACACAGACCTGTTTACTCACTTGAATATCACAAAGCATCAGCTATATACACATATTTAGTAATATTGCTATATAATTTTGTTCTACATAAACATGTAATGCAATGGTAAGTGAAACTATTGTGCAATTCTTCTTAAGGAGAAAACAGCTGCTGGTACCTTTGCAGATTTTTTGTAATACTTTAATACAGGCTCTGAAAACTGAAAAAATGCGTTATTTCCTTCATGCCAGGAAATATTTAAAGAAATATGTATTGTGAAGAATAACAAGAAACTGCTTGCTGGAATAAAAATGTGTATTTCTATCTGTTATATCCGATGCACGCATACATAATGTGATAAAATATCACAATATTTAATAATAAATATTAACAACATTCACAAAGAATAATTAAGAAAGGGTAAAAAAAGGTACTTTCCATTTTTCCTGTGTATTTAACTAGACTCCACCTATAGACAAAGAGGATGATGATGATATCTCCCATACAAACATTACCAACACACTGTTCATTCTTCAAGCTTGCATCAGATCTGGCTAAATCTCTTTGTCCCTGTTTTTATCCACAGTTCCTTTGATGGTACAACTTATGAATACACATCCTTACCATTACTGTATAATTACAATGAACAAAATATTGGAGATGGTTACGACAGCAGGTTGGAATCTTGTGTTCCTTTATAATTTGCACAGCTGTTCTCAAGTGCCGGCTCCTGCTACTGACTCAGATATATAGGGAGTCCTCAAGTGTTAATTTACATTACAAATAAAGCGCAAGTCATTTAGCAATCCAGGAAATTTGCAGCCATCAGTAACTCTAAAGCGATCTCGGGTGCAATAGGAAATTCTGGGATCTCTGTGGAACTGTTGGTGTATCTCACTTTGTATGTAAAATACATGCAAACCTTCTGCAATACATGTGACCTACAACAAAGACAAAAGTCTATTACATCACTGGGTAATATGCATACAAAAACACATTGGTAAACTAGGCTTATGTGATACTTCTAAACACCCATTATAACAAAAGACTTAATATCAAAGATTTGTAAACTGCTTCATACTCGAGAAAATTGTCGACACCAACATATACAATACATTATCTGACAAAGCCTATTATTTTCTGTACTGTCAAAATATCTGTTTTCAAAACTGAATAACATCCACTTCAACCTACACTGTATACCATATATTATGGCTTTTTGCCATCACGGACTTTTAATCAAAAGTGAATCTAAATCATGTTTGCTTTACCTTCATCTAAACACATTCTGAGTATTCCATATAATCTAACCAACTAATATATCAAATTTTAATTAAAAAAGTATATACCAAATCAACAAATAACGATCAAAGGTTCTTATCACTTTCTTCTGAACAATTTCTATTTTTCTTATTTAAAACAATGAAATGTTTACAACAAATGTATTTAAAGTACAGTATGAAGAATGCATGCAAATACTGATTTTTATTCTAGTCTAGTAGTTGTGATCAACTTAAGAAATCATTTTGAAATTAAAGTCTATACTTGCTCCCTGCATTTAAGAAAAAAAACAAAAACAAAAAACAAGTGTCTGAGATATGAATGTCCTCACATTCATGTGTAGAAATAACACAATATTTGACAATTTGAAAAAATAAAAAAAACTATAGTGACGAAGATCTTGTCACCATGGAACTCCTCCATTGTACAGTACTGTCACAATTAACCTTTGTATGAAATATAATACAATCTCTTAAAAAAGGAAGTTGCTGGAGTAATCAACTCTAGACATGATGGACAACTTAAAAAAAATATATATCCCTCCCCACCCTACTAAAATAAAGAGGGCATTGTTTTACATCATTCCTGAACCCTACCAATCAGTGATATTTTCAATATCTCGACAACCAACTGTTGGCCATCATTTTTATCAATTCAACAACACTTTTTGTCCTTTTGAATATTTTCGTATTTAATGCCATTGTAAGCCACTGTAAACAAAACATAATGCTGTGCTTCAGTCCTAATAGGTTAAAAGATCGGGGAACGGAAATTTTCCCATAATTTTGCTATGTTAGATTTCCACAAAGAAACTGAAATAGGCTGTTGTTTTCTAATACTTACGGTATTTCCCTGAAATTAATTTCATTTGTCTCATTCTCTGCAAACTGGCCTGGAAGTACAAGGTAAAAATTTATCAGTAACTGAACAAAATGAAAATTCTAAAACATTACATATTGTATATTGTTATGGGTATTAGAAGTATGATGTGATCTATGACCAAAGTCATTCAGGGTGTTGGTTATCTTCCATTCCATTTGGAGTTTTTCAATCAAAGTTGATTCTGGAAAAAGATGCCCATTAGACTGCACCACTCAACAGGTTTAGTCTAGTCAAAATTGCTGTCCAAACTGACAGAGAAAGATTTAAATAGTTTACATCTATTTCTCCAATAAGGACCCACCCCTCTGTCCCAAGGAGTTTAAAACCCACTGCATCAGTAAAATTGAATCCCCTCCATCTAGATGTTGCTTCAGATCAAATTTTGTCAAAATCCCTTCATCCCTACAAAAAGAAATTACTACATAGTTTGTATAAACCTGAGTTTCCATTTCCCTACGAATGCTCCTAACCAAACTTGGTCACAATACTTTCCTCTAAACAGAAGACAGATTTTCAAGCTTTCAATTCCTCTATTGGTACCAACCCTTTCGTCATTCCTAAATTTGGCACTACCCTCAGGCCTTGGGGGCCCCTGGCCCATTCTTTATACAAAATTGGTTTCATTTCCCACAAGCATGCTTCTGACCAAATTTGGTCAAAATCCCCTCAGTCTATGATGATATGAGTAGAAATTAATGAGGAAAAAGTTGATTGATAGATGAATGACAGCAGAAGACGCCATATACAAAATGTAATTTATTTGGCTCAAAGGGCCTAGAGATGAAAGAAATTCTACTTAGGACAGAACAGACAATGTTTATTTTCTTTTAATACATGTAATGATATGTATACAATAAAGCTCTTGGCTTAAAAATTTTCTAATTTATGAAACATTCTAATTGTTTACTTACCTGGTCCACTAAGCATGGCCTTTATAGTACCAGACGTAAGCGCATGTTCCCTTTTCACAATAAATTCATGCCCATCAGACGACACCAGTTTGACATACATGGCATCCGGACCCTCACATCCACCATAGATCTTCTCCTCCTCCCCCTTCTCATCTTTGGAGTCGGACATTTTGGGCTCCCAAGAAGAGGGAATGGTTCTTCAAAATAAAATGACATCATATAATGGTTAAATATTTGTAACTAAATGTGGTGATACAGAAAATAAACAGTTGAAATACCATACAGCAATGAAAAATAATCCCTACTACTTGGCTAGCCATCATTTAAACAATTTACAAATCATTCCTACAATTTACAATATATTAATATTATATGAAGAGCAAATTCTGGATTTCCTAGGAAACCACTATAGCCACAGGAAGTCTGATTGAAACAGGATGACTGCCAACTATATGGGTAAAATAGTTAAAAATATAAACTTGATCCACTGATTTCAAATTGAATGGTTTACATGATTTAAATGAGATGTTAAATCATTTCACGTTCACATAACAAATGCAGGCTCTAAATAAATATTGTGTCTGCCAGTGTCATTCTTTGTGTATTGACAACTGCACTGCAGTTATCCACAATTTCTAGAAAACTGCAAGAGCACCGAGTTTTAGACGGAAATATGAATGGAGATAAAATATAATTTGGTAAAACGAAAAAAGAAAACTTCCAGATATCTTTTAAAAATTTGTCTTTGTTTTGTTTTTTTTCAATCTAGGAGTTATCCATCACCAATGATTTTTTTAAAACTTTAATCACTATATGTATCAGCAGATATATTTATGAAAATTCATGAAATTGCTGTTTAAACTGTTAAGTTTGGAACTTTATTTCTACACAGGGCAGTAAATGTCAAAGTCAATTTGACCAAGAAAAAAAAAACTATTTGTGGTCTGAATTTTCAATAAATGTCATAGGATAATAGAATACACAGTCAGTGGCACTGCCATTATTGGAATACACCTGCCACATATATTTTTGCTGTATTTGACAGTGACAGAAAAGTGGTATTTTAGTATGTCCAGTACTATGTTTAACAATATAAAAATATGTTGAAATAAGCAATATCTTATCTATTTATGATATATATGTGTTGTACTGAACAAGTTTATTCACAAAAGTCATAAAATCGCTGTCACATCCATTTAAGTGTGGAACTATATTTCTGTGCGGAGCAATTATTATGGCTTACATCATCAGGTAAAATCCTGCAGAACATCAACAATTGAACAAGAAAACTTTAAGTTTTGATTGTCTGATTTTCAATCAGTGGTGCAATACAAATAGAATGCATGGCCAGTGTCTTAAAATATAAGCTGCATTTTGGTTCGGGAGAGAAAGACAAAAGTGGCTCGACACTATTGTCTTGCTTAACCCCTGCAAAAATACAATTTAAATTTAAAGACACTGACCATATATTCATTATGTATTTAGGCATACCGTTATGGTTCCAGATACTACGATCTCGTGGCTTGTAACTGTGGAATTCTTGCACGTGAGCTTGGACAAGTTTTTACTCAACAAACGACAATGAAATAAAAAGGTTGATGTGTATATTCTAACCAATCTGTTACAAAAAAGGAAAGAAAGTGCCATTTGGAGGTTATCTTGATCATATATTATTTTCGAGTTCAAACAAATACACATTATTATCGTGTCTATTTATAGTAACGTTGCGTTTTTCAGACAGGGTCATTTATTTACGTCAACTGTGGGCTTTAAATACATCTGGTTTAAACATCAAATGAAATTATGTGACAAAGAATATCTCAACTACATATTGGCTGATCAAAGTAGGCAAATTCACACATTAAACTTACTTATGATGTAAATATATTCAGGGGAAAATCCCTGCTCTTCGACGCCGTGGTCGCTCTCTTTTGCTTATGTCCCTATCAACAGAAGCCCGGATGAAAGTCGCGTGACCGGAAGACTGCGGTGTGTAGTGAAAGACGCGTACTGAATATAATAATCTGTTCGTCACCATGTCGAGAAAACACAGTTGTCTCTTTGTAACAAAGAGCGAAGAAATTCGAGTTAACAAGCCCTGCTAAACCATTTTTTCTCCAAACGTATATAACTAATATTATCATATTAAGTAGAAGTAAAAAGTTCATAATTTTCAAACTTATTGCGTTAACTTTTGTGACAAACTATTACACAGTTAATTTTGCATATTTATAAAACAGATATGCATTTTAAAGCTTTTACAATTGAAATACCATCATGAATTTCATACCATTTTTAGGCTCGAAATAATGAGCATCTTTTAAAAAGATATATTAAAAAGCGGAGAATTTTTTCGAACGACTCATGTAGGGTTTGTGACGCTAATTCTTGTCCTCCGTCTTATAATTTTGGCGAACGTAATCTAAATATATTACATACGAGACTCGGACATCAGTGCAGTTCTTTGAAAAGTGATTTGTTCCGTGTTTAGATTGTTGATAACCCATCGTGTGCTTGTAGACATTACTGTGAGGATGTTGGTATTTTTTCCTAGAATGTAAGCTTTATATTAAAGTAAGAATAACGCTTTTTCAAAGTATAAACATGTTGAATATAGTTCAAGTGAATTTACATCTATTTTTATTTGGAAATGAAAATCTGTCCCTAACTACCAATACAGAAGTATTCAGACACGTGCAAATTTTTATCAAATCTAGCAACAGATTTTAAGTAAAATGTACTAACTGTTAAATATATTATATATGCCTTGTTAATGTTATCATGTAAATATTATCATGTATTGTATTAGAGGAAAAGGCGGTCATAAGTTGAAATAACTTCTAATCCTCTGCTCAATTTTGGGGCAATAAATAAGTTTAAATCAAACCTCATTTTAATGTTTAAATAGTTTTCGTACTATTGAAAAGTCCATACTAACTACAGCGTAGAACTGAATAGGACATGGGTGGATAAGATTAGATAACACACGGGATTCTCATAGAAGAAACACGAAAATCAAACGCCAAAATGCATAGCATATGATATGTCCCTGAAACGACATATACATAATGTACTATAAATACTATATATATAATGAAAGACATTTTTACAACGGTATATGTAGCGGAAATTTGTGCAGTTGGAATCTTGGACAAAATAATATCGTATTTGAAAGGACTTCATTAGTGTTCTAGTCTGGTGTGAAGTTTTTTTTCGCGTAAGTCATGAATTTGGTATTTTGTGGATTAGAGCTGATTTGAGAGATAATGACAGTGATGTATTTCTCCGTTTAAAGCAGTTCATATTCTAAACGTAGAAAAAATTATGTAAGCAACAGAGAGTCTGAAATATGGTATTCTGTAGATGTCAATTTTTCTTTGATCATGTTGATTTTTTTATCTCATGTTTTTGTGGTGGATAATATATTTATTAGACAATTTGGAATCTGGTGTCTATTCATTTTTATAATAGTTCTTCGATTAGATAGTAATTCAAGCGTAGTTACTGTAAACAACCAAGCGTAGTTACTGTAAACATCCAAGCGTATTAACTGTAAACAAACGAGCGTAATTGCTCTAAACAACCAAGCGTAGTTACCGTAAACAACCAAGCGTAGTTACTGTAAACAACCAAGCGTAGTTACCGTATCTCTATCATTAAAATTTAGTATGAAGACACTTAGGTGTAATTTGAATTAAAAGTAACAAACCAGGTGTTGCACGCTTTTAAATGCTTCAAGATTCCTCTCATACATATCGTTATTGTGTCACGTATAATAAAATGTTTTACAGAGAAACCGATTTGATAGTATTTGTTTATTTTCCAGAAACTTGATCTCTGTATAAGGTATTTCACAGTAATACTTTAATGTAGCAACTCGCATGTTTTATCTTATACAATGTATATTGAACTTCTAAAAAATATATTACATAAAATATCTCATTGTATATAGAATATATATCATTTAGACCTATGATATACCTATTATAGCATATAAGATATTTACTTTATCTGCCATCTCATATACTTTGTAAGATATCTTATACAATTTGGTGAAACACATGATCGTCGACGTTGTGCTCATCCTCGGCATCATGTGAAAATCGCACACATGATAAGTTGTCTTGTCATAATACTGTCAGAGTTACTTCCCCTTATCCAATTGTCATTGCCAGACTCGTATTTTGGACTGCAGTTAATGATACCATATACAATAGTGAATAGTTTTATATTCACGATGCAATTTTCGAAAAATAAATTAATTAGTTTGAGAATCAAAATAACTCAAATGGTAAGATCCTCGACTATTTTGTGTATTCCAATATATATGGGGTTGAAATAAACTCTAAACATGAAGATTTCTAACCCGCATTATAAAATTACGAATACTGTTACATAAGTAACATAGTACACTATGAATACTAGGAAGGAAGATATTTCAATGAGCAAAGCATTTGACCAAAGAGACTTCAAACACAAGAGTACCTTTCAACCAGGGTAATGAGAACTTTTTAAACAGGGTATGTTCTTCCCATAGCACAGCATAGTGAAGCTTTCTTGCACCTACTTTCTCTTTACGCTATTATCAATTACAAGTATTTGAATGAACGCTATACCACATGTATGTATACGTGTCTGTTACTAAAAAGATAGCAGAGATTTGGCGGTAACAATTCTTGGAATAGGATGGCCAAGCTATATATAGGTTTAAATACATCCGGGTTGGGTCGATGATAATGTTCAACTTACCGACGATTGTTTAGCAGTTAGCTACTTGACTGAGTCATGTTCCGAGCGTTGTCACCATACGTGCTTAGGGGTGAAAGGCTATGGGTGAGTAACATTTCATCAATTGACCATTATAATTTCGATTACTTACAAAGCACGAATTTCTGTGTTGTGTTGCAGACGAAGACACGGTGGGCAGGAAGTACTTCTATTTGCCGTAGGCTAAAATTTTCTTCTAAACTCGGTTCGATTCATGTCATTACTTTAGTATACAAGTAGATTATCAGTTTTGCTATATTCTTGTGAACCATTAAGGAAAAATTCTTTAAGCTGTCGCGAATTTGAACGGCTTAACATGTGAAAACTGTTTTCTTTAAAAACTTCTCAATAACTACTGGCATGTATTTGACAGGGTATAGGCCTATGAGCAGTACTGAGATATGCTCAGAAATGACATTGGCCTTTTGACCAAAGCACTCTCTTCAATTTGAAATATTTAATGTCTTCGAGATTAGTGTAAGGATCCATGTCACATTGTCAAGCACATATTGAAAACACTGCTCAAGTTTAGAGTGTCACAAAATTAAAAGTCCCCTGCAAACAACAGGTACATGTGAATCTGTAAACGAAGACCTCGACTGTTAATGGGTCAACCAGCAGGTAGAGTTATCAATGTTAAAAAAGAAGAACCGTTGTTAGGGAGCTTTTTTCTCTGACTTTTAACTAGAAAATATCGCAACTCTGTTACAATCCAATTAATATGATTTACACAAGAATGCAGTGAAATGTTGCCTGTAAATGTCGCGCGAACGAACAAGTTTTAATTTTTAGTTTTGATACTACATAGAACAAAAAGAGGCCTGTGACAACTATCGTATTTCAATGTTTACACTTGGGCTCTAGGGGCCTCCAGATAGCACAGTCGGTAGAACGTGGTCTACGTGATTCAGAAACCGGTCTTTGCTGTCCTGGTTGTGTCCTCGGATAGGCACGTTTCTAGTATAAAGGTCTTTTGATCTGAATTTCTAAATTTCAACTGTTGTTCTAGTGATGATTTTTTGAAAGGTTAGACTTCAAAAATTAATTTAAAAAGCAAAAAAAAAAAGTTGATGCACTTTTTATTCTGATTCAGGGGTCAGAATACGCGCGATAGGAAACTATTAAATTTTCATTTGAACTGAAAAGCTGCATAAAAAATGGCTATTTAATGGTTAAAAGTTTATTCGATGATACTCTAAAAAAATCAGCTGTTTTAAAAACTTAATGTTTGGTATAGAGATACTCGATGATATGTTACACGATTAAATAGAGGGGAACGCTGTGCGTTATGTTTTGCAATTTTCACCCGAGTAGCTATAATTTCTAAGGTGAAGAAACAAGTCCGTGGTTCACCACATTGGAATTCACGAATTGGAAATCTGTTAAATGATTGTCGTGGCTTGTACTGGAGTTGTTTCCCTTGTATATGTTTAATAGTTGTTTGGGCAACTAAAAGAATCAAGCCGTTAATTCTACTACATCAATATGTAGTCCACATTCGAAATTTCTACAAAACGTCACATAAAGTGTCCTATTTCAGCTTATAGTTACAGCAATACATAATAAAGGACAATCATACAAAGACACAAATGTCCTTGAGATAGTGCGTTGGAATACATTTTACATTGAATTATGACCTACTTGCGGTCAAACATAACCTTAATGCATCTTCTATTACTCTTGATGACCTGCGACAGGCCTTCCGTATGTTGTTCAATGAGGTAACCAGCAATTGCTACAGGTAGACACCGCCTCACAATGGACACAGCATCAACGCACGCGTAGTCTCCATTTGAATCTTACCAACCCAGTGTTTACATTTATCAATATGGCGCTTGGTGATAAGGCTTGTGTAAGAAAGAGTACGCGGTAATTTACATACTTTTATATAAATGATCAGTTTACATTCCATCATTTTGAACGTGTAGATTAAATATTACATGGATACATGTTAGATGTTTTTGTAAAAATAATATAGATATAGATTTGTCGCTTTGGTGGCGCCACCTGGTGCTTCCCCAACAGAATGTGCGATGAACTTTGAACTATAGTAGATTTCACCTTCTCGCCTATAAATAGCATTGTCTTGAAAATTAAAATTCAAAGTGATTAAAATATACCACTATTAAAATGAAACTAACAAACTGCATATGTGATCTGCCTTCGACAGCTGGCTCGCCGGAACTTTCACGCGGAACGGACTGTTTAATTTCGACCTATTGTCAAGTTAAAAAAAATTCTGACCTATAAAACATTCCTTTAAGCATTTACGTGGAAATTAAAACACACTAAAATGTATTTCTCAAATTAACTTGTTTTTTAACAATCGTGAAAGCCGCTTTTTAAACAGTTATCTATATCAGGAAATTTTCTGTCAAATAAATGCACGTGGTTGAATACAGCAGTTTTCGGTGACGTGTGTGTTCCAATAATGGCAGCTGCTGGATAAAAGCACACCTCTATTGTCTCTAGTGACATCAGTGTATTGTCTGTAATATAGCTACAACAGGTAGGATGGTAACCTACCTCATAGTTTATAAGTAGATAGATTGTTCCTATCCATATCTCTCCTCAGTGTTATAAATCCAAGCATCGATCCATCACACATTTATTTGTACTTAAATGTAATAATGTGAATTTGTTGATTTACAAATGCAAATTAAATTCAATATATTAATTTTTCCGCATGTATCAACATATGCGTTATCACACTGTCGGCCGTGACAAAACGTGACTTTGTATCTCTCAGGTACATCGTCCTCTATTCCGCCATCTTGTCTGTGTCTCTGCAAACATGGAGCAACAGGTTGTATGTATCTTCACATCCAACGATGGTCAGAGACCCATTGGTCACATTTCTATCTGCTCTCAAATTTAATTATCGTTGTTTTTCAGAGTGGACATATCCAAAGATGTACACGTCTGGTCAGCGGGTTTACAGTAAAAAGGCTTGACCATTTTGTTATTACTGTGAAGGATGTAGATGCCACTTGTGAATTCTACTCTCGTGTTCTGGGTATGGAGGTGTCAACATTCAAGGTATGCCAGTCAGGTCAACTTCCTTCCATCTACACGCTTTCTTACTGGTACTTTCAGCAATGGCCGGCCATACGAGTTCCTAATGTTCCTAATTCTCAACTTTCGTGACATATATATGTAAATCTTTGTAGTCACGTCATATTTCACAAATTTTCTTAATTTAAGGGTCAACAACATTACAAAATTTTGTCCGTCAAAATTTTTTTCAGCTTTTTCGGTATCTGCACACTGTTAAGTATAGATGGGATTTTTCTTCCGTTTTTTCCCATGATTTTTTTATATTATAACAAAAATTAATACAAAAATGTAACAACGCCTTTAAAATGATATAATTTGTTAAATATTGCTTGTTTGATATCAAATGACAAATGTTTTTAACAGAAACATAGCAAAAAAGCACTTACTCGACATTTCAATCCAATTTCACTCTGCCGATTTGTGAGGATAATACTAAAAATAAACAAACACATTTATATAGGTTAGCATGTGGTATATAGCCAGTAATATTCGGAGGCCACTGATGTACCAGGTGGTTGGGGAGGGAGGTAAACGGAAGGCCTAGTGGTGTTTGGATGTCGTTGTTTAGGGTAGGAGGGAGGTCGACAGAAGATTGATATAAAGTACACAGCTAGTGATGTTTGGAGGTCGTTGTTTCAGGGTAGGAGGGAAGTCGACAGAAGATTGATAGATAGTACACAGCTAGTAATGATTGGAGGTTTCAGAGCGGGAGGGAGGACGACAGAAGACAGACATATAGTACACAGCTAGTGATGATGGGAGGTTTCAGAGCGGGAGGGAGGACGACAGAAGACAGATATATAGTACACAGCTGGTGATGATTGGAGGTTTCAGAGCGGGAGGGAGGACGACAGAAGACAGATATATAGTACACAGCTGGTGATGATTGGAGGTTTCAGAGCGGGAGGGAGGACGACAGAAGACAGATATATAGTACACAGCTGGTGATGATTGGAGGTTTCAGAGCGGGAGGGAGGACGACAGAAGACAGATATATAGTACACAGCTGGTGATGATTGGAGGTTTCAGAGCGGGAGGGAGGACGACAGAAGACAGATATATAGTACACAGCTGGTGATGATTGGAGGTTTCAGAGCGGGAGGGAGGACGACAGAAGACAGATATATAGTACACAGCTAGTGATGATTGGAGGTTTCAGAGCGGGAGGGAGGACGACAGAAGACAGATATATAGTACACAGCTAGTGATAATTGGAGGTTTCAGAGCGGGAGGGAGGACGACAGAAGACAGATATATAGTACACAGCTAGTAATGTATGGAGCTCATTATTGTTTCAGGGTGGGAGGGAGGACGACAGAAGACAGATATATAGTACACAGCTAGTGATGTGTGGATCTCATTATTGTTTCAGGGTGGGAGGAAAGCTTTGAATTTCGGCCAACAAAAGATTAATATTCACGAGCACAAGAAGGAGTTCGAACCAAAGGCAAACCTCCCAACACCAGGATCAGCAGATGTCTGTTTCATCACACAAGAAACTCTGGACAATGTCATACAACACCTTAAGGTGAGTCAGTGTGTCTCTCATCTAGGAAAGACATATTTCTTGAAAACTAGACAAGATCAAGGAAGGCTGTTTAATCGTTAATGATGGAGGACTACTACAAAAAACCTAGGATATGTCATATTTTAACCACCTGTAGAATGTCAATTATTGCGGAATGATTGGAACAGCTATGTAGAAAACAAATAGAGGATGTGTAGTAGTGTCTTTAACAATAAAAAAATTTACAAATGTGTATAATATTTCAGTATCTTTCATGGGTGCGCAGCATGAGTGAAAAGCACAGAAATATCACACACAAGTGATGTAAATTTATTACTGAAGACACTATTAGATATTCCATTTATCACAAGCAAAATAGCCAAATTACTGGCATATATATATATTTTTTTTTTGTAATTCTTTTATTTTTTTTTTAAGTTTTTACATATTACACAATATACAAGAGAAACCACACAAAAACATACACCCACACTCTCACACTTGTGTGCTCTTACTTGAATATGTCTTACGCATATACATGCATCATCATCATCATCATCATCATCATCATCATCATCATGCGCATGTATATACCACTCATCAACATTCACACCCACTTACACTCACATAGCAAACTGGCATATTTAGGATAGACATACAAGGATGAATCTGACGCTGGTTTTCGCGGACACTACTCGCTCATTATAACATAGTAGTGCGCGACAAAATATAGTCCTCTTTTTTAAATCGTTAAAATTTATATCAACACAAAAATAAATTTCAATGTTAATTTATTTTCATATTCATAGTAAATGCTTCTTCTTTGTGTCACTAACGGACAAAGGTTGCTGTAAAACGTTTTGATAGAGTTTAACTTGCTGAAAACAAGGCGGCAACATAACTGTTGCTGTGTATGGCACGAATCCTCTTGGAAATGAAAGTTAACCGTTCAATAGAAGGTCATGTTACTAGTAAACAATCTATTCATGTTTCTGGTTCTCTGTTATTTTAGTACCGAGCTCTATGATTTTTAAAATTTGATAAGATGATATTCACTGGCTTAAGAATGGTATTTTCACTAGTGAAAAATAACTAAAATGTGCTGTTTTTTTAACCAATGTGTTATTTCTCTATATTTCACCGGTAAAAATGTAATAAATTCTAATGTGAAAATACTAAACTTTTATTTGATTCATCAAAGTTAAAAACTGCATCGCATAAAAAATGAAAAAAATGGAGAGTTGCTTGAATCGTTTATATTCTAAAATTCAACCGATTGAAAAACTTCAAGCTTTCATTTTCCCCAGGTCTAAGAAACAAGTTCGTGGTCCAAACATTTGGAATTCACTAATCGGAAATATATGATTTATGTTGATAATTTAATTGACATTTGCTCAAGACTTCCAGAGTTATATTCAAGCGAATGACCTTAGCAACAAGAACACGTTGAAGTTGATGACGCAATTAATCGAACTACGTCATCAATGGCGTTTGTCAACAAGCGAAATAAAAGTGCCCTATTTCAGTTAACAGACACAGTAATAGATATTACAGGACAAGTATATAAAACACAAATGTCCTTAAAATAGTACATTAGAATTCATTTTTATTGTATTATGCCCTACTTCCGGTTAAACATATCATGCATGCATCTAGGCGTTGACGAAGTCTTTCTCGCCCGTCTCCGAATGAGTCATTCGAACTAATCACGTTGCTATTTATTAACGCGCGATGACCAGCCTCGGTGCAAAGCATGCCACGAACAAATTACAATAAAAACAAATTTTTATTATATTTGATTGTCAAGGAGGCTACACGTGATATGGTATTGGTTCTGATGTCATTTCCTGTGTTGAAAGGCCATTACGTATATAATCAAGCAATCATTCAATAAATCGATATAATTGTTATTATAACCGGAATGGAGGTCAGGTATATCTACTGCTATTTCAGACACCGAGGGCCTTAAGCAATAAGTGTTTCATATTTTATGATTTTATTTAAAGGACTCGGTTAGCCTATGAAGTGCTTCTGCTGCAATAAAAATGTTGTTTACATTCGTTGTGATATGAACATTATATATGTCATTGTGTCACGTTTTGTTTTAAACTTTCAGGATTGTAAAGTAACAATGTTGGAAGGACCAGTAGAGAGAACCGGAGCCGTTGGTCCTATCATGTCTGTGTATTTCAGAGATCCAGACAACAACCTCATTGAGGTGTCCAACTATCTGAAGGAGTCTTGATTAGAGTTCAGAACTGTATCGTGTCAACAAGCTAACGGATGTGTCCAATTATCTTACGGGATCTTGAGTTCAGAACTCTGTTATAGTCAAAAACTTCATAGAAGTCTCAAATTATTTTTAAAAAGTCGTGATAAAAGTTCTGAATATTTAGATCACTCATATGTCGGACAATGTATTCCGTTACTTTAGCTGAATTATGACTTCCTGACAAAAACTCTTTTTCAGGCAGGAGACGGTACTGATCCTGTTTTTCTTCACCCTTCCTATATACATAGTAAGGATGTAGGAAATCGCTAGACTTGGTTATATGTCGGATGTTTTGTCGCTGGCATTTGCTAACTATTTTACTGTCTTTTAAGATCTGCATTTATTTTGTATGGACAATTAAAAAGATTTGTAATAGCAATCAAAATCATATCGAGTCTTAATCTTAGAGTAGAGCATTTTCTTGGCCCAAACGTTTCGCGTGATCACGTGACGTGATATGTGATAGCGAGAGGAGAAGAGAAGAGCGGAGGCCCTACAGGATAGAGAGGGTGGTTCTCCTTTGGCGGGACAACCGATCGCACTAGCTTTTGCCCGAGAAAGTACAAATTTACATCCGAGCTTGAGTTTTGTGAAGGGTCGGTTATTATATATGCTTACCACATGAATGTTTCCATGTTTAGTGTATATAGTTGCATACATGCAAAGATTAAACTATGTTCGACAATGACTGATTGCATCAACTGTTTTCAATATATTTAGAAAAAGACTGAATTCAACCATACTTTCATCATGGACTTTTAACAAATTCAGTTATTAACAAGTTTTGATTTTAGTTCTCAGCTCACATGTGGCCTTAGGGGCAGGACCCAAAAGCGGAAGGTCTTAAAAATCCGACTACTCTTATAGGAATAAATGGATATTGCACAGATTTCATGTGAACAATTCTTGCCTGAAGAGGAATCAAGTCTTGGTCCCTTGCGATGGAGGGCGGGGCCCAATAGGGGAAAAAGAGCAAATTATTTAAAATCCTACTCCTCCTGTAGGAATGATTGGATTTTGCCCAAATTTGGTCTGAAGTATTCTTGAATGAAGGGAAATAAGTTCTGTATGAACGGTGCATCCTTCTTCCATATAAGAACATTGTCCAAGTTTGGTATGAAGCAATTTAAATGAATAGTTAATCTGTCCTCTGTTTGACCAGAAGGGTGGGACCCGATAGGGAAATTATTTCATTTTTTTTCATATTTCAAATTCTTTATTGAATAGCTAAATTACCCAGGTGAACGTTGTAGGCCCGTTTGGCCTCTTGTTTTTTGAGTCCAAGAGTCCATGCCCTTACAGAACATGTCGGTATTAGGTTATTAAGGGTTACGTCTAATATAAACTTGTCCAATGATCGTTTTAATTTTTTTCCAGATTTCGCTTTCATTAGGTCTAATTTTTTTTATTCTTACTGAGAGTTGTGAATTTCCTTAAAATAAAATCGAGGAAGTTTGCTAAAACACAATTACACTGTCAATGCATTTAAAACAAAGCAACAAATCATCGCAGTATGTTGTATCTTCTGTTACATCAAACGCAAAATCAAACTAGTTGAACGAAAGTTTATTGTGAACGTGTTAAACAATTAATCAACAGTGTAAAACAAAAAAACATTTCCATCCCCATTAACAACATGCTCTCGACTGAACAATTTTTCCGACCCTCGTATCATTCAGGATAAGTGTAGTGATTGTTGACTCATGTTAACTGTCGTCGCCTCCCCATTTATTTCTGATTTGGCTTGTTCGAACAATCGGTCCACGCGCTCCTTCGGGACACAGCCTATCCGAAAGTAGGAAATCACACCTGAAATATCAACCAGTTTGACAAAATATACGTACTTTTTTGAAAGACATCGGAATTAATTTTGCCTTTAGCTGGTTACAAGGCAGGGACGGATTAGTTTTCTAATTAATTAATGTTCCTATATCAAAACACAAGGGACCTTAATATCTAGAATCAAATTAACGATTGTTTATGTCAGCAGTGACTCATTAAATGTATTCCACTAAGCTATATGTGATCTCCTAGTCACAAGGCAGTTAACAATTGAACTTCACTTGGCGACTTTTGTTGACAGGGGTGACTAGCTGAGCGACAAAAGTTGTTATTTTTTTATCTCACTTGACACTGATGAACAACGAAAAACGAGTCATTTACCTTCATCTATCTTGGCACAGTTGACGACAGTTGATGCCACTATTTCGTTAGATTCATCATCACAGATTACCGCTGCTAGTTTGTGTCCTTTGAAAAATAGATAGAAACATTTTGTAACCTCCTTTTAGTATTACATAATTTGACATCATTAAGAATGTTGTTTTTAATATTGGATCAAGAAAAAAATTCCAACAACCAAATCCACTTTTGATTCGGCTGACTGAACACACTTCATTTGCTTATCAACATATAAATTTATCATAATTGTTTATCAGTAATGTACTAGAATGTTTTGGTGTCAGGATTTACTCTGATGGTTGTACACTGCGATCATAAAGAGACAAATATTTAAGTGTCCGCTAACATATGCGTTTCCATAACCTTTTTGAGATCTTCAAGAACCGGCATAATACACTATATATATTATCGTTAATTATGAATTTGTGAAAATGTCAACAGAAGGGTTATTGATGTCAGTCAATCACTAGTGCATACCTAGTGTGTCTATAACCCTATCGTGATGTAAACTGTCTGGTTCCCCGCTTGGATTGGCCGAGGTCAAGGCCACAGGACCAGAAATGCTTGTGAGGTAGGAGAGCACAGAAGAGTCGGGTACTCGGATAGCCACGCTTTCTTTAGTTCCAACGTACTCGACAGCATCACCCACTCCTAGCCTCGCTAGCCACTCCCCCTTCGGTACCACACAGGTGATGCCCCCGGGGTAACATTTGTCCATAAACCGCCACAGAAGATCGCTAAATAAACCAATGTAGCTTGAATGTTTTGTTTTCAAAACAAATGAATATAATTAAGATCTCATCTTTATCGTTGCAAGACAGGATCGAGGAACAATTCATGTAATTTCGCTTCAATAGTAACATTGATTTGCTTGTGGCAAAATTTTAACATTTTATCATCAACTTATACGTGTGTAGCTGTTAAACAACACAGGCCTGTTAAATTTAGACTCGAATAGAAACACATGCAGTACCTGAACGGAGGATTTGCCTCTTTCAATTGGTCAAGGTTTGATATACAAAGACAGATAGGTTTCTCGGCTGGCCTGCCCTTGATGTGGTAGATATCACTGACAGACTTGGGAACCTTACATGATGATGCCAGGGCGTACACCGTGTCTGTTGGTACACCGATCACGTGGCCTTCGTCAAGGAGTTTGGCTGCCTTCCAAAGGGCAGAAGATTTTCGCGAGGGAATCATTTGGCAAGGCAATTTCTCCTCCTGTGTCTCTTCTTTAGGCTAAATGATTTTTTTTAGAAAACAGTTCATTAACGATTTCCTCGGCCACAAATTTCCATATTTTATGAAAGAAAAAATGTTGCTTTCCCATGAGGAATCATATCTGATGGCCAAATTTAGGTTCAGTCATAGCTAAAAAATAATTCTAATATTTCTACGTGATAATTGTTTTTTTAATGTGTGAGATAATTAAATATGAGATATTGTGACACTGTTTGTATTACAGTGATAAATGATATAAACTAATTTAGCTTGTTTAAGTTAGCATGTACCTTTATGATGGGCTTGCCTTTTGGTAACGCATCACTGTCAATGACTCCCTTCAAGATTCCCGAGAGAGTTCCGTACAATCCAACAATACCTAAAACATATGGAGACAGAAATAATGATGACACGTAACAATTATATTCATTGACACAATTTAATTTTTTCTTGATAAGCAAGCAATTTTTTCACCCACTCTTACTGTTTTCTTTCTATAATATAGATTGATGTTTGCTATGTTGAATGGATCCCGGAACCAAACTTTGAACGAAATCAGTTTTAATTTTTAATTGTGTACAAAGAAGTCGCTTGATGAAGGTCACAAAGAAATAGGGTACAACAATTCGAACGGTTATGTGACATACTTACCAACGAGAAGCGACGTGATCAGTGCCATGTACTGACTGCTTACATCGAAAACTTGGAGCACGAGAGCTATAATGTTTATCTCCACACTCAAACCGAAAACCATCCACACCCTGGAGAATGTGGTTGTCATCAGCATTGAAAATGTGTGTAAACAAAGCAGACCTATTGCAGCAGCCTTTGTCTGGGACACCTCGATGCCTGTACAATATTAAATATATAATTCAGTCATTACACAATAACATTTACATGAAGTGCGTGTGGTTTCAGAATATATATTGAATTAAGTCAATTACCGTGATATTTTGTAGACGTGATCATAAAAACCTGATGTATTGAACACGTTGATAATAAAGTATAGAACCATTACATCTGTGGTGCTAGTATTTTATACCTTCCAGAAACACCAGAGACCATGTTCCCCATAGAAGTGCCAGAACTACCATCATGAAAGCTCTGGCCAAACTTCCGGCAGCATATGCAAGGCGTGCGCAGTATATGTTGATGAATACCCCCGCCACAAGAAGCCAAGGGAGAGCACTCTGTCCATCTGAGACCTCGGCGGGAGATAACGCCACGGAAGCCACCATGTTGGCTAGAAAGGCTACGGAATCCACCATATTTAAGTCTTTATCGCTGTCCATTGGACCGCATGATTCATCAATTTCTTCTGTCTTTTTACTTGATTAGAAAATGTAAGGTGTGATTTGATATCAAATATCATGTAACAGTTCAAACACAGATTCTTTAGAAGCAGTAGTTTTTGTTGAAGTTGAATGTCGCCGTTAAGGATTGTTAATGCGATATAAATGATAATATGTACATTTAAAATCTTCCTTTCGAATATTAATCCGAATTCTTTTTTTCAAACTAAAACATATACATGGTTATCTTGTTTGAATTCAGTAGAACATTGACAAATTCTCATAAAAAAAGCAACAATGCGAACAGTAATTGCGATATAAGACAATTTCACACATATTGTACTTAAAGGTCTTACTCACTGGAAACATCCAAAGGCACGTTGAAGTTTCTCGGCAGCTATGATTTCTGGTCCCACATAGACAACAGCCTTCTCCGCTGTTGAGTTTAGAAGATGTGCGATCGAGATGTATACGCTGGCGAGAGCGAGGACAGCAGACGACACCCCAAACGTGTAGTTACGAACTGATCCAGGTATATGCTCCACAGATAGAATGGCTATGACTGTTAAGAGGAGATTGTAAAGGAAAACAACGACACTCTGCGTTGTCGAAGCCACCAATATTGCAACAAGAACCAACACCATACCCCACAGACCGTAGTAATCTAAAATGGTGTCTGCATCGCCTGAAATGTCAAAGGTTACGAGAAATGCTTCGGCTCCTCGGCTGATCCAGAAGATGAAGTATGAGATGAATTGTACAGAATGGAAGTAGTCTTGTCTTAAGAAGGCATAGTAACTAGAAACAATGTGACAAAGACTGCTGCACATCAAGGGACCCATTGCAGGCCTGAAGTCAGTGAAATATCCCAGGCTATAGAAACTCAGCACAGCAGCTGGCACGATATTGGCAAGGTATCCCAAACCCATCGGCTCCGCATACTTTGTATTCTTTCTTTTTTCGTTCTTCTTTTTACCTATGGCCGATGTTCGGATAAGTAAGGGATCGATGGGTGCGTTTCCGAACCCCGGTAAAACATACCTCTGGCTGACGCCCTTGGTGGTCATGACAACGACAGCATACACGGCCGTGAAGACAATGAAAAGTTCAAAGGCAGCTGCTACCCTCTTTGCCCAAAGGAAGAATAAACCTGCGGCTTCAAATACTAATGTAAGTAGCATCGCAGCTAGTACAGGAGGTAGAATATAGTTGACGAACAAGGAGCAGACAAAGAGAACCACTGCTACGGTCATGTAGCCTACCAGACCAGACAGGACAGCTCCATTTAGGTCCGGTATGTCTGTGGTCAGTATGTACGTTATTCCTTGGAATGACCACAGGGAGGCGAATACTACAAAGGCTGTTCCAGTTAGGTGGTCATTTCTTCTGAAGGACAAGAGTCCAGCCACCAGTTGAAGAAATCCCCCTATCAGTATCAGATGGACACCTACAAGTAAATGTTTTGTCTGTATTACATTGATATAACATTAGACTACAATAATTTGAAAGCAATAAAGTATATATCAATTGTCGCTAGACGTTACTGTAACATTCTATACCAGCATATGATATTTACATATCACAGTTGATTCGATATTTAAGGGCCTCTTCCAATTATCACGATTTCCTGCAAGACGTCGTCACCTGACTGACAAACTCGTCACTCAAGGGTTCAAAAGATGCAGGTTGATGAAAATTATGGGGAAGATTTATAAGCTGAAAAAGTGATCTCGTTGAGATATATTCTATTTCTTTGTGCGACGTGAAGCTGGACGTATTTGATGCTCGTTAGTTTGCCTGTTGGTTCCGTTGTTGTATACCTTGTTCTCATTTGAGAAAGTGACACAACTTACTTGGATTAACCAAGGTTTACATGGCAAGTGTCGTCGATGATGCAGAAGACGCTCACTCTTCCGGAACACTTGCTCTTATTCTCCCTGTTCGTTTTCAAAAGTCTTCGTGTAAACCTAACTTTTGTTAATATTTTGTCCTAGTTGTATGAAATTTGAGTTTGAATCATCATTATGTTGCCATGCTGGTATTTCTTGATGTTTTTTATAACAAATTTAGCCTTAAAATGCAACAGATGTCGTGGTGACACATATATCGTTTTATTCACTATAAAGAACATTTCTTCATTTGCCTTTGAATCATCACAGCTATCTGCGGAACTTAAGGGGGATTGATAATTTCAGTGTTGAACACAGAAGAAAAGCGCTCGGTAACATCCGCGTTACAGTCTTCTTGTTCATACCGACAATCATGAAACAGTGACACGTGATCTTTACTGTATTTATTATATTTACATCTGAACTTCTTTGAGTAAATCAAAATCAAGTTATGCCTTGAAAATTAAGTATATTAAATGTCAAAAAAAATTGATGAAATTATATCTTGATCGAGACCCTTCAGAAACAAACATTTTGTCTCAGAGTTTTACCGATTATCGACTGAAAAGCGTGAAATAACGATGAAAACATGTTCTATTTTTAGAATAAGAATATTCTACATTGCATTGAAAACCATGTTATTAAAAAAGAAATATTGATAGCAAATATTTAAGTGTGAATATTTCATATATTGTACTCCAAAAAATTTGATTGTGAATCAAAACAACATTTTTTCACGATAACGAGTCCCAATATATTACACTGTATAAACACAACTTGGTCTCTTCAAATTAAGGTATGTGGTTTTCTGACATAGTTTATAATATGTAGATAATAAGTAACAAATGAATAAATGACGTGAATGAGGAAATTGTTACTTTCTGTTGGAGTTATCTCCCTTGTATGAACAACAATAAAACACAAACTATCTCGCATTTATTTGATTATGTCGAGTTACAACATTTTCCATTTCAAGATTATTTCAAAATGAGTGTAATTTTCAAATTATATGTTAATTTTGAATTAAATGATTTGGCAACGCAAATACCCTACTCCGGAAAAAAAATTCCTTTGATATTACGTATTATTTAGTAGAGCGCACTATAGTAAAAGTTAGGTAAATAATTTTGTCGTTTTGACGTGTTTTGGAATTCAAGACACATTTCATGATGCTCACAATAAAAAAAATTGACAGCTAAAGTTTATATTTACATTATCTCGTCATGACTCCTACGTTTCACTTGCTTTGTCAGCAAACATGATTATAATATATATCGTTACCTTGGCTACCGTACATTTCCTGTTTCAATTCGATACCTCTGCTATCAACGTTTTAAGTACGTTTGCAATAAGTAAGCAAATGTATTTTTAGGTTTCACTAATATTTCAAGTATTTAAGCATAGTTTTCCTACCAAATATGTTATATGTATATGTGGTACTGTCTATCTATTGAAGATAAATTGATTTGCAAACATGTTGCTAATTTCATTATATGTATCGATTTAGTCGTGAAAAATAGATATACATCTAATTAATAAACACCAAAGCCTAAATACAAACGTTTTGTTGAGTTATAATCACAGACTTAGTTCTATATCTAATTCCGTGGTTATAAACCCAATACATCAGCTCCCACATACATGTATTTTACACTAAACAACAGAAGCATTCGTATGGCTTACCTGCAATGATGAGAGTGAGTTTTGTCTCGTCCCCTACCGTCATGTTTCCCATAGCCACTATCAGGGCAGACATGATATTGGCCATAAGCCCCAGGGCCCCGGGCTCACTGTATAGTATTGACGCGAAGGGAACACCGCGCCCGCTCGTTCGAGTCTCCTCCATCTTTATACACAGAACCTTGATGTTCTTTTGCGATCAGAATTGTCGTTTTGTGTATTCGGATTTCTTTGATAGCTTATGTACACGATAAGCAACAATTTATATCAATGACCGTTTTCCAGTACTTTTCAAGTGAATATGGCTTCATTTATGGTAGGGGGCGTTCCCAATTCCCGCCCACCAACTACAATATTATCTATGTCTCTTTAGGCAGCGCAATATAAAGACCCGGAACTAGACAATGATAAATAATTAAACATTCCTTGAACCATTTTAAAAACTCCACCCTTATATATATATAGATAACTGAAAACCAATCATAGTCGACTTTCACGAACCAGGAAGAAACTGCCGTTGTATGTATTTTTAGAAAACCAAGCGCTCTTTGATGAAATAATGGCGTACCTATGACCGATTAGGCGTTTCCTCCATTGGTACCTTATTGTCTTTGATATATAAGTGTGGCGTCATTCTAGATCCAATCGAGGTGGAAACGATACCAAAATGAGTGGCAACGAAGTGGACTCCGCCGCTGCGTCCGGATTTTTACTTGTCAGCCTCCTTTTTGCTCTCACCAGTGTCAATACTATCACAACAAAGCGATCCAATGCTGTAATAACCAATATTCCGTATGGTGTTTCGCTGTTAGTGTTCTCATTGGCTATCCTACTCACTGGTAAGTTTTTATTGTCTACATATAAGTAATATAGATATCTGATTTTGTGAACGACTTTGATATGCTTTCTTCACCTCTCATTTTAAATTCTGATCCACCAAATATTTCAGAATGGTTCCATTTTGTTTAATTAGCACTGTGTAAGATATATTTCTTTCATCGAAACTTTTTTTTATGACTTTGATCTTTAAATCACTTACTATGACAGTTTAATGCCGATTCCACTGCGTCTCAAATACCACAACATATGCACTCTTACAAACATATGATAAGATTTTAGCTGGTGATATAGATTATATTAAGTTGGGGAAATATTCAAGACTACATTTTACATAACTGGGTGTTATGTTACAGGAGTGACGTCACCCTCCCCACACAGACAGCTTCTTCAGTCTGTGGTCCTTTGTTTGGCAGTGCTCTGGTCAAGCGTTGGGGTCAATCACATTTGGACAGAGGTCAACTATTCACAGAATCAATCGTCCGAGCACTATGTTTCTGCTCACGAAACCTTGTTTCCGGGTTATGGAGGTCTCATGTTGGTGTTTCTCGTTTACCTAGGTACTTCTCTAACAAGCAAGGACTTCCGGTCATGCGCTGCAGTCTCGCTTATTTGTTTGGTCATGTTTACGTTTGAAATAATTAATTTGTTTGTTAGTGTACAAGGAACGGGGGTTCTTCATGTTTTGCTCACTTTGATTTTTCTTTATTTCTGTTTTTCAAACGTAACTTCACATTATAAACGCTCAAACTTTGTATCTCCGGACAATTTGAAAACTGAAACAAACTCGCCAAATACATCAATTCACAGGGATCATTTACTTTTAATGTATTCCTTGAATATTGTTTGTTTTACCACATTTGCTAGTTACGTCATCAATATCATTTCTGATACGCGGTTTTCCTTTCCGTGGCTGATAACTTCCGGCATCTTCGAAATAGTGGTTGGCATTGCGTCATTAAGAAGGACTAGTCACCATAGTGCTAGCAATGTCATTATTTTTGGTCTGTTTTGGTTTGCTGTTGGGTCGAGCTTAATGGCAGAAAACTATGTGTGGAGAGAGATGAACTTCATTGTTCCCACATCAGCCGTCTTGTTTTTATTCTTCTTTCTACTTGCTGTAGTTGAAATTAAGCTCGAGTTATTTAGCTCCGTGTATTATCTGATGATGTCGCTGTTCGTACTTTCTCTGGGTGTAGATGGACTTGAGGGTGTGTTCATAGGAGTGATGGGATGGGCTGGTATTGTCCTCTCACTCTATGGCCTAATTGCTTCTTCAACTCGTTTAACAGAACTGGAAATAAGGTTTCCATTGGGTGACAACATTATGGAAAATCAAAAACTCACGAAATTATTTTCATGTTTTCAAAAATTAGGTAAGAACAGACAAACGACAGACATCCTATCAGATTCTCATAAATTGTCAGAAGACATTATGCTGGGCTACTCAAAGTATGTCGACTCTCAAAGTGTAGGATTCGCGGCTAACGCCGTGGCAGCATTTTCTCTCGTGTGGATACCTTCTGGATCAGCCCCGTTAATTTTACCATGGACCGTAGGTTTCGGGGGACTGATTCAGTTTGCTGTTGGTTTTGTAAGTTTCTCCAGAGGGTTAACATTTGAAAGCTGTTCTTTTCTTCTATATGCAAGCTTTTGGTCTATCTGGGGATCGGTGCGAGCCCTAGATATCATTGAAGGGGCTCAGGGCGTGACTTTGGTGGTCGGCCTGGTTGGTTTCCTGGTGACTGGTTTACTTTTTCTCGGTTTGTCTACCACTATAAACAAGATTTGGTTGTTGATTTCCTCTGTTTTTTGCCTTCTCGTTGTCGCGTTCTTGTTACGTGGTCTTGGTGTTAGTAACTATGGAGGGTTGGAGATTGCAATTGCCATAGCCTATGTCTTGATATTTATGTACGGAGCTATGTCGGCCATATTGAAAAATGTTTGGGGAAGGGACATTCTTCCATTGGGTAAACCTCTACTTCAAGTCAGCAAACTACACTCGGATCGCTCCAAAGCGCTGTTCATGGATCCAAGACGGGCGACTGGTGTGAAACAAACAGCAGGTATGTGGAAATTACACCTGTAAATTAGAATCAACGCCAGCCTATCTCATTTATAAAATCTAGAAAGCTTGGTATTGATATAAGCATAATGGAATACTGTCTGTTTTTTTATCGTCCTTAGAAATCCTGAGAAACGGCGGTATTTGTGGTATTCCTACAGACACTGTGTATGTATTGGTAGCTGCGTGTAATCAACCACAGGCAGTGATGGTAAGTCTAGAGCCAGCAGGTTCTGAAGCAAGACTCCAAAGTTTGATATCATCTGTTACATACGGTTTTAAGTCAGAGTAACAAGTATTACTGGCACCTGAAGAAATTAACAAGCACTAGTCGCAGAAATTACATCGAAATTGAGTTAATAATTAGACCGCTTAAAAAAAATCTAGCGTTCAAATATGACATTTCACTCGTGTGATTTTTTAATTGATTTACGTCACTATTTCAAATTATGTTTGGACAGTAATGCCACTATGCAGCAAAATGATGTAATAATACAAGATATTGTTTTATATATATATATATAAATATATAAACATAGATGCATCGTATCGATAAAATATTTGAAAATAATAAAATCAACACGACAAATGTATAATGAATTATTGCCTGAAGATGGCCGTTAGGCCTGAACACGTTAGCGGAATACATTTGCCATATTGATTTTATTCTTTTCAAATATATAAATATAGATCGATATATTCAAAAGAATGTACTATTTAACATTCAGTGCTTGACCATTATGACGTCAGTATCGTGGTCATAGAAACGGCGACGTTTCTCCGTCAAAATAGCCGTTCCACTTGACATCTTGCAATGTCGATAATTAGATTAAATTAAGTTGTAATCAGCATGACAAGGTAACATATTGCAGTTGACATTTCCTACAAATCTTTGGTATTTATGATCTGGTTTCATGATGACCATTTATATCATTAGAAAAAAAAATACAAAATTTGACAGTAATACAATACTGACCTCTACCCTTTCAAAGAACAATTGTATACCTGAAGTAGATAACGAAAAGTATATTACCTATATCATTTTTACCTGACAAGTAAAAGTTCTGAATATCAAGGTAAGGTCAAATGGTGTCGATTGGAAGTGCCATAGAAACTTGTTTGTACAAGTTGAAGTAAGATTGATTAACTTAATAAAATCATACAGGTATGTATATGACTTCCTTATCAGTGGAAACTCAAGGGGATTTCCAATATGGGATATTGATCATCCTTGTTTTTAAGTGCTGGAACGACTACTTGGAACGGACGATATCCTAGCCAATTAAGGACAGTCTTTCTGACATAAGCTAGTTATAAATATTATATATAGTATGTAACAGGTACAAGGAAGGTAAGATAACTGTACGTTGCCCACTTGCTACTATTGATTTGATGTTTTTAAATAATCTTTGTGATATTCTACTAATATCTTGCCATCTAAAACAACAGGTAGGTATTACAAAATCAATACTACTGATGTGGAGTGACGTATGATATGAGAGAGAGAGAGAGATTACAAAACAATACTACTGATGTGAAGTGACGTATGATATATGAGAGAAAGATTACAAAACAATACTACTGATGTGGAGTGACGTATGATATATGAGAGAAAGATTACAAAACAATACTACTGATGTGGAGTGACGTATGATATATGAGAGAAAGATTACAAAACAATACTACTGATGTGGAGTGACGTATGATATATGAGAGAGAGAGATTACAAAACAATACTACTGATGTGGAGTGACGTATGATATATGAGAGAGAGAGATTACAAAACAATACTACTGATGTGAAGTGACGTATGATATATGAGAGAAAGATTACAAAACAATACTACTGATGTGGAGTGACGTATGATATATGAGAGAAAGATTACAAAACAATACTACTGATGTGGAGTGACGTATGATATATGAGAGAAAGATTATAAAACAATACTACTGATGTGGAGTGACGTATGATATATGAGAGAGAGATTATAAAACAATACTACTGATGTGGAGTGACGTATGATATGTCAGAGAGTGAGTACAAAAACAACACTACTGATGTGGAGTGACGTATGATATATGAGAGAAAGATTACAAAACAATACTACTGATGTGGAGTGACGTATGATATATGAGAGAAAGATTACAAAACAATACTACTGATGTGGAGTGAGGTATGATATATGAGAGAGATTATAAAACAATACTACTGATGTGGAGTGACGTATGATATATGAGAAAGATTACAAAACAATACTACTGATGTGGAGTGACGTATGATATATGAGAGAGAGATTATAAAACAATACTACTGATGTGGAGTGACGTATGATATATGAGAGAAAGATTACAAAACAATACTACTGATGTGGAGTGAGGTATGATAGGAGAGAGAGAGAGAGAGAGATTACAAAAACAACACTACTGATGTGGAGTGACGTATGATATATGAGAGACATTACAAAAACAACACTACTGATGTGGAGTGATGTATGATATGTCAGAGAGTGAGTACAAAAACAACACTACTGATGTGGAGTGAAGTATGATATATGAGAGAGAGAGATTATAAAACAATACTACTGATGTGGAGTGACGTATGATATATGAGAGAGAGATTATAAAACAATACTACTGATGTGGAGTGACGTATGATATATGAGAGAGATTACAAAAACAATACTACTGATGTGGAGTGACGTATGATATATGAGAGAGAGATTATAAAACAATACTACTGATGTGGACGTATGATATATGAGAGAGAGATTATAAAACAATACTACTGGTGTGGAGTGACGTATGATATATGAGAGAGATATTAAAACAATACTACTGATGTGGAGTGACGTATGATATATGAGAGAGAGATATTATAAAACAATACTACTGATGTGGAGTGACGTATGATATATGAGAGAGAGATTATAAAACAATACTACTGATGTGGAGTGACGTATGATATATGAGAGAGATTACAAAAACAATACTACTGATGTGGAGTGACGTATGATATATGAGAGAGAGATTATAAAACAATACTACTGATGTGGAGTGACGTTTGATATACGAGAGAAAGATTACAAAACAATACTACTGATGTGGACGTATGATATATGAGAGAGAGATTATAAAACAATACTACTGATGTGGAGTGACGTATGATATATGAGAGAGAGATTATAAAACAATACTACTGATGTGGACGTATGATATATGAGAGAGAGATTATAAAACAATACTACTGATGTGGAGTGACGTATGATATATGAGAGAGAGATTATAAAACAATACTACTGATGTGGAGTGACGTATGATATATGAGAGAGATTACAAAAACAATACTACTGATGTGGAGTGACGTATGATATATGAGAGAGAGATTATAAAACAATACTACTGATGTGGAGTGACGTATGATATATGAGAGAGAGATTATAAAACAATACTACTGATGTGGACGTATGATATATGAGAGAGAGATTATAAAACAATACTACTGATGTGGAGTGACGTATGATATATGAGAGAGAGATTATAAAACAATACTACTGATGTGGAGTGACGTATGATATATGAGAGAGATTACAAAAACAATACTACTGATGTGGAGTGACGTATGATATATGCGAGAGATTACAAAAACAATACTACTGATGTGGAGTGACGTATGATATGTCAGAGAGTGAGTACAAAAACAACACTACTGATGTGGAGTGATGTATGATATGTCAGAGAGTGAGTACAAAAACAACACTACTGATGTGGAGTGATGTATGATATGTCAGAGAGTGAGTACAAAAACAACACTACTGAAGTGGAGTGACGTATGATATATGAGAGAGATTACAAAAACAATACTACTGATGTGGAGTGACGTATGATATATGAGAGAGAGATTATAAAACAATACTACTGATGTGGAGTGACGTATGATATATGAGAGAGAGATTATAAAACATTACTACTGATGTGGAGTGAGGTATGATATATGAGAGACATTACAAAAACAATACTACTGATGTGGACGTATGATATATGAGAGAGAGATTATAAAACAACACTACTGATGTGGAGTGACGTATGATATATGAGAGAGAGATTATAAAACAATACTACTGATGTGGAGTGACATATGATGTGTGATGGACAGATTACAAAAACATACTACTTATTTGGAGTGATGTAAAGTGGATATACAGGAACCTACTACATGAAGTAATACAGAAGAGCGTTATATTGTAGAGAGCTTACAATACTAAGACTCTGGCAGAGGATCGGCCCATGTCTGTTTGGATATCTAACATCAAACAGATTGAGAAGGCTCGTATGGAACTGGGTGATATCTGTTGGAACTTTATGCAAGAAGTGTGGCCTTCTAATATCAGCCTGGTGTTGAATAGAGGTTCGTAAATCTGACTTCCTCTGTGATATCATTAGAACGATAGATATACCATGGCGTCTAGAAAAACGTCAATATATCCTAAATGTTTGACTCTCGGTAAATTAAACTTTTCAAGTTAACATGCGTAAGAATGCACTTTTTGGTTCCATCAGGTGAATGGGTCAAGATATTGGGGTTAGGGGAAGCTGAAAAACTAATTGGTAAACCGGACAGTATAGCATTGAGAATTCCGGACAATACGATCGTGTGTCACCTGATTGACCAGACTGGCCCTATAGCTGTGACGTCAGCAAATCCCACTGGAGAGGCAGATACTACCCATCATCTACAGGTTGTAGCCAAACTAGGAGTGAAAAATGTAAGTCGTAACGATGGCATGACATTAATGTGTCACTGATGTACCAAAATATATCTGTCATCAATTCAAAACTTTTGCAGTTAATTCAATATTTGGCGATGGAGATTTAATTATGACGATGTAGTTTAAACATATTTTTTATTATAGTCAAGAACACAATTGACTAAGTATCAATCAAAGCGGGATGTTTATTATTTGTAGTGTGACGGGATTCTTGCGGACGGTCCTTCCCCTGAGAATATTGCCTCCACTGTTGTTGACTGCCGAAAAATCAAAGAGGAGAAAATCGGCTTCTTTCGGATAGGTCTGACGCCGAAGTCAAAAGTCGAAGAGATGTTCAATAAGGTCAGAATAAGCAAACAGCACACCGGAAGTGGCAGCGGTACATCCTCGATTGGCATTGACAACGCAGGCTTTGACAGTTCTGACGTCACAACGGAGAAAAATGTCAAGGCAAATTTCGAACAGACATCTGGTCTTATACATACAGCAAAAACTATTGGCGGGAAATTGCCTGTTGATGGAAGTAAACAAAACCCAGTGTTTGTCGATACAAAGTGAGAGTATCATTGTGTATGCACATTTTGAACAACTGCAGTTCAGATATCAGTTATCAGTTCGCAAGTTGGTGGTGACCGATTTCGATATTGCTCTATATCGATCTTGTGTTTCAGTCAATGTCCGTGTATGATATGGTATTGATGACCATTTCTTATCCTGATCTAATCTATTGGTGATGATCTTTACACAACTGGACCCACATGTCTTTCACAGGACCCAATTGTTGCTATTTATATTGCTTCTACTGAAAAATAAAACGTTACCATATAATATTATACCTGCATTATTTTCAATCGACCCTGACAGGAGAAAGACCGCAGGTAACCAAACACAATCTCCATCTCTTATAGAAAGTAGATAGGGTACAGGAGTCGTCCATTCCTGTGTTATAGACAGTAGATAGGGTACAGGAGTCGTCCATTCCTGTGTTATAGACAGTAGATAGGGTACAGGTGTCCGCCATTCCTGTGTCATAGACAGTAGATAGGGTACAGGTGTCCACCATTCCTGTGTCACAGACAGTAGATAGGGTACAGGTGTCCGCCATTCCTGTGTCACAGACAGTAGATAGGGTACAGGTGTCCGCCATTCCTGTGTCACAGACAGTAGATAGGGTACAGGTGTCCGCCATTCCTGTGTTACAGACAGTAGATGTCCGCCATTCCTGTGTGACAGTACTGTTAGGTGTGTCCCGCCATTCCTGTGTCACAGACAGTAGATAGGGTACAGGTGTCCGCCATTCCTGTGTCATAGACAGTAGATAGGGTACAGGTGTCCACCATTCCTGTGCTATAGACAGTAGATAGGGTACAGGTGTCCGCCATTCCTGTGTGACAGACAGTAGATAGGGTACAGGTGTCCGCCATTCCTGTGTTACAGACAGTAGATAGGGTACAGGTGTCCGCCATTCCTGTGTTACAGACAGTAGATAGGGTACAGGTGTCCGCCATTCCTGTGTCACAGACAGTAGATAGGGTACAGGTGTCCGCCATTCCTGTGTCATAGACAGTAGATAGGGTACAGGTGTCCACCATTCCTGTGTCATAGACAGTAGATAGGGTACAGGTGTCCGCCATTCCTGTGTCACAGACAGTAGATAGGGTACAGTGTCCGCCATTCCTGTGTCACAGACAGTAGATAGGGTACAGGTGTCCGCCATTCCTGTGTCATAGACAGTAGATAGGGTACAGGTGTCCACCATTCCTGTGTCACAGACAGTAGATAGGGTACAGGTGTCCACCATTCCTGTGTTACAGACAGTAGATAGGGTACAGGTGTCCACCATTCCTGTGTTACAGACAGTAGATAGGGTACAGGTGTCCACCATTCCTGTGTCACAGACAGTAGATAGGGTACAGGTGTCCACCATTCCTGTGTCATAGACAGTAGATAGGGTACAGGTGTCCACCATTCCTGTGTTATAGACAGTAGATAGGGTACAGGTGTCCGCCAGTCCTGTGTTATAGACAGTAGACAGGGTACAGGTGTCCACCATTCCTGTGTTACAGACAGTAGATAGGGTACACGTGTCCGCCATTCCTGTGTCACAGACAGTAGATAGGGTACAGGTGTCCACCATACCTGTGTTATAGACAGTAGATAGGGTACAGGTGTCCACCATACCTGTGTTATAGACAGTAGATAGGGTACAGGTGTCCGCCATTCCTGTGTCATAGACAGTAGATAGGGTACAGGTGTCCACCATTCCTGTGTTATAGACAGTAGATAGGGTACAGGTGTCCACCATACCTGTGTTATAGACAGTAGATAGGGTACAGGTGTCCGCCATTCCTGTGTTAAATTGATTACTGAAAGAGAAGATTTTCGGCCAAGATTTATTTACATTATGAAAACAAAAGGAACAGTTAATTCTTCAAAATTATTTTAATTTAACGGCAGATCAGGAAAACAAACTTCATGTCAATCCTTTCAAGTTTGAAAAATGTCGGTTGATAACTGTGGTATGAGATCTCTGTACAAGAATAGCAGCATGCAAATATGTAACTCTCAAATATTGCAAGAAGATCTCCGGGCAAATAAAAAAACCATAGACAGATGGACAACGCCATACTATAATACGTCACGTTAAAACTTTTGATAGGAGTGTAGAAATTTCTACAAACACTTCAGTGTTTTCCTTTGATGACAAACTCACTCAACGAGGTGACATGTTAAGGATTGATCATATCAACATTGTCATTGAACCTTTCCATACAAAATACTGAAGTAATATGCAAACATAATATACACAAAGTGCCCTGCAGATAAGGCTTGAGAACTGGATTTGCTGTTACCGTTGCACGATCAAAGAGTGTCAATTTCCTTTTAATCATTTTCTATTTTCTTCTTCGTCAGCTTCTGTTTTTTCTAAATTGTCTGCGTTGATATTGCCTAACCATTGCTCTTTTTAAGTACACGTTTAAGATACGATGAGTTTTGTCTCGAGACGATACTAGTATTTCATGTCCTTTTTTCACGCCCGTTTTCAATAAAAGAAATACTTGTCAGTCAGTTGATAGTACGATGAGACCGGTTAGGGTGCCTTGTTACCGTATCCAGTTATGAAATTTCATTGTGATGTCACTATAAAAACGTCCCCGTAGTTAGTTTATCGTGACCGGGTGTCTTGCTACCATATCCGCGGTATGATATTTCGATGTGATGACACTATAAACACGCCCTCGCAGTTATTCAATAGTGACCGGGTGTCTTGCTACCATATCCGCGGTATGATATTTCGATGTGATGACACTATAAACACGCCCCCGCAGTTATTCAATAGTGACCGGGTGTCTTGCTACCATATCCGGGGTATGATATTTCGATGTGATGACACTATAAACACGCCCCGCAGTTATTCAATAGTGACCGGGTGTCATGCTACCATATCCAGGGTATGATATTTCGATGTGATGACACTATAAACACGCCCCCGCAGTTATTCTATAGTGACCCGGTGTCTTGCTACCATATCCAGTGATGAATTTTCAGTATGATGTCATTATGAAAAAGTCCCCGTTGTCAGTTTCTTGTGACCGGGTGTCTTACTGCAGTATCCAGATATGACATTTCAGTTTATTTCACCATGAAAACGTCCCCGTAGTCAGTTTATCGTGATCGGGTGTCTTGTTTCCGTATCCAGATATGATATTTCAGTGTGATGACACTACAAACACGTCCCTGCAGTCATTTTATAGTTACCGGGTGTGCGGCTACGTATCCACTTCTGACATTTCGGTGTGATGTCACCATAAAAACGTTCCAATTGTCATTTTAGCGTGATTTTATCCAGTTATGACATTTCGGTATGATGACGCTGTAAAAGCGTCTCTTTATTCAGTTCAATGTGACCGGATGTCGTGCCATTTCAGTGTGACGGCACTATGGAAGGTCACGTAAGCTGTTAGAGGTCCTACCATTGTTTGGGGTTGTCTTCATATAACTTTAATTACCTGTTCGAAGGACGCAAAAACACACTTCAAGAATACTTCACTCCGTGTATAACTACTGCCGTATCTTTGTGACCTTTCCACAAAATATCTCACGATTTGTCTCTCCCTCGCTATTAAATTAAGTTGGACGTATGAAATAACTTGATCAGTTCTCTACTACACCTTAAAAATCTTCACAGTTTTCAACTAAATTAATGTGGTAAATATTATATTTGTCTACCTGAATCAAAGACATTACTAAAATTACTTTTAATTATCACTTGAATATCTTGGTTTTTTTTTCCAATGACCACGTTTTATGCAAAAATAATATTTTCCACTATAGACCTTTTTCTGCGCAGTAGCACTGACTGATGAATAGACTTTGTTCTGTTGACTTATTTTTTCAGAACATGTCTTCCATGTTGACAAGGAAGTTTTATTTTTGTCATTTGGGACTCTGTGTATTACCAGTTGCTACCTACTTCTGACCTGGCCGTATATTTATATAGCAAGGTAAATATTCTCACGGAGTTTAGATAACTCTTTATTGAATAATATACGTCGTGTATTTTAAAAAACTCTTCTGCTATATTTCCAGGTTAGGCTTACTGCATCTGTTTGGTCGCCAGTGTTGTATCGCTATAATTTTGTAGACGAGTTCTTTTGAGAATTGCCGGGTATCGTGGTAAACTTTCATTGTTTATTGTACAGTGTCTGTTAACACGCGACACCTATTTTGCATTGCCGATGAAGCATACGAAATCAAGATTTTTTTTCTATCGATCACTGTGCGAAAAACATCGTATGTTTAATATCTGTCGTACTGGTGTTGAGGTTAGACAGTTATAGAATTTCTTGGCTGGACGATTTGGTACCGTAGAATCGGTGGCCCGGACAGGGCACAAGTCCAAAATGTGGAATTCCTTCATTAATTGTTACAATGCGTGTGTGGGTGTGTGTGTGTGATATTCAAGTTTTCACACCAGTAATTTTGGTCTATTTACTAACGTGTTAGACAGTGATACAATCAGAATAATCGTCTCCCCACAGACCTGATAAATTAATCATGTAATCGGAAACTGCTATGCTACAAGTACATATTATGTAACATTCACCCGGAAATGTTTCCCGGGTTTTTCCAATTTCACCCTCAGAAATGAGGGATGATTCACCAAGGTCTTACAACATTATTCTTTCTCTCTCTCCTTTAGGCTTGAAGTTTTAATAAAGTCTGCTTTAAATGTCGTCACGGATTTCCATGATATCATCAGGATGTATTACAGCAAAACAGGGGTTTTACCTAATGTTAAATTTCACATAGAAACCACCCACATTCAGATTTTTGCATGATTGTAATACTGCAGACTTAAAAATAGCTTCAATGTGCATTCTGTTGCTAGGTAAAATTTGAAAAAAGAAGTGTATTCAGTTCACAAAAACAAAAAACAAATACAAAAGAAAAACCAAAAACAAAAACAAAAACAAAAACCAAAACATGAAAGATTAATGTACAGAGCAGGTACATAATGTATTTCATAAATAGAAGACGTATACACACATAGTTTG